TCCCACATCCTCCAATTCTCTTCCACTCCCTATCCTCTCTGCGATCTTAAAATCATATATTTTTTTTAAAAAAAATGTGTTTTTGTAACTCTCAGACACGACTCACATCGGTGACAAACTGGCCCTGCCCTCCCTCCCCCCCACCGTCAACCATCCTGCACTGGCCAGAGTGGTGAAGTATGGTCGAATAATAATAAAAATAAAAAAAACACGTGACCGACATGGCTTGGGAAAACGTTCATCCAGCAGTGGATTGAGCACGGGGTTTGGGATTTTGTTTGGGTGCATGCTTGCAAGGTTTGGTTACGTGACCCCCAAGATAACCACCGTGATTCAGAGTCTGGATTCTGCTGAATAAAGCACGAAGCCATTGGTGCCCATCTGCCGTTTACAGCCCTGTAGAGCTCGGTGGCGGACATTCCACATTCCCATGGCGGGCGAGTTTATCCACGGGACAACAACTGCCGTTGATTTCCCCACAAAGTGGTACTTACTTTATTGACCCCGGAGAGAGGTGATGATGGGCTGAGTCAACCCCCCCCCCAACCACCAACCACGATTTTAATTGGCCAACTCGACCGGGCGGTTGTTATCGGGGCTTAATTCATCACCGAATATCACCCGGGTGGCCAGGTAGAGTGGAGTAGGTGACACGTAGCTGAAGCAGCCACAGCCCCATATACATCGCGAGAAATATACTGGATGTGGTATACCGGGCGCAAAAACAAAGACCTTTCCTGGTCACCGACCCACACTGACCCCGGCTGAAATCGTAAGCTCCGGTAACCCTAATTTTAATGATCATCTTTCATAAAGTTGGCTAAAAAATATTTTTGAAAAGTTTAAATGCAGCAATGATTACGATGGGGTGACGCTGAGCGGTGCACCCCCCCGCCCCCATCCTTGCGTGAAGGCCACGATCCTACGGGCAGCAGGAAAGACGGGCAAGTGGTGCCCGACAATTTGGTTCTTTCGGTAAAAGTCACGTGGGTAGAAATAAAATAAAGTTAAACCACGACGTTTCGATCGCAGCAGCACAAGCAATCGTCATCAGGTGGAACAACCACAGCAAGAAAATGCTGACTTTACGTGACTTTACCGAAAGAACCAAAGAGTATGGATGCCTGCAGTCACGAAAGCTTCAAATCGAGTGGATGCCCTCTTGGGAACCCGGGCCGAGCGATGTGCCCACGGTCGCCCCCCGAGGCCACGCGGCAGACGGACACACACACGGCCACCCGTGACGGCCACACACACGGCCACGCGTGTCGGATCGCAGGGCCCCGACTGTCTTGAGTGGCCGTGACCCGTGGCACCGTCACTTGTGTCGACAAGGCACCTTCACTCGTGAAACTTTGTATTTTACTTTGAATTGTCACCTTCACTCGTGAAACTTTGTATTTTACTTTGAATTGTCACCTTCACTCGTGAAACCTTGTATTTTACTTTGAATTGTCACCTTCACTCGTGAAACTTTGTATTTTATTTTGAATTGTCACCTTCACTCGTGAAACTTTGTATTTTACTTTGAATTATCACCTTCACTCGTGAAACCTTGTATTTTACTTTGAATTGTCACCTTCACTCGTGAAACTTTGTATTTTACTTTGAATTGTCACCTTCACTCGTGGAACTTTGTATTTTATTTTGAATTGTCACCTTCACTCGTGAAACCTTGTAATTTACTTTGAATTGTCACCTTCACTCGTGAAACCTTGTAATTTACTTTGAATTGTCACCTTCACTCGTGAAACCTTGTATTTTACTTTGAATTGTCACCTTCACTCGTGAAACTTTGTATTTTATTTTGAATTGTCACCTTCACTCGTGAAACCTTGTAATTTACTTTGAATTGTCACCTTCACTCGTGAAACTTTGTATTTTACTTTGAATTGTCACCTTCACTCGTGAAACCTTGTATTTTACTTTGAATTGTCACCTTCACTCGTGAAACTTTGTATTTTACTTTGAATTGTCACCTTCACTCGTGGAACTTTGTATTTTATTTTGAATTGTCACCTTCACTCGTGAAACCTTGTAATTTACTTTGAATTGTCACCTTCACTCGTGAAACCTTGTAATTTACTTTGAATTGTCACCTTCACTCGTGAAACTTTGTAATTTACTTTGAATTGTCACCTTCACTCGTGAAACTTTGTATTTTACTTTTAATTGTCACCTTCACTCGTGAAACTTTGTAATTTACTTTGAATTGTCACCTTCACTCGTGAAACTTTGTATTTTACTTTGAATTGTCACCTTCACTCGTGAAACTTTGTAATTTACTTTGAATTGTCACCTTCACTCGTGAAACTTTGTATTTTACTTTTAATTGTCACCTTCACTCGTGAAACTTTGTAATTTACTTTGAATTGTCACCTTCACTCGTGAAACTTTGTATTTTACTTTGAATTGTCACCATCACTCGTGGCACATTGTGTCACCTTGAATCGTGTCACCTTGACTCATGGTGACAGCGTGTGTTGTACCTTGACTCACGACGCCTTGTTGTCACCTTCACTCATGACACCTCGTGACACATTGCCTCGTGTCCACCACTGCCATCCCTCAGGAGGCACCACGTGAAGTTCCAGGGCGCCTCCGACCCCCCCCCCCCCCACCGCCCCCCCAGGTGTCCGTGACACCCGTTGTCTCTTCTCCTTCACCCACAACCGCAACCACAGCTACCACTAACCACAGCCACTACCACAACTACTACCACTAACCACAGCCACTACCACAACCACTACCACAACCACTACCACAACCACAGCCACTACCACAACCACTACCACAACCACTACCACTAACCACAGCCACTACCACAACCACTACCACAACCACAGCCACTACCACAACCACAACCACAGCCACTACCACTACCACAACCACTACCACAACCACTACCACAACCACAGCCACAACCACAGCCACTACCACTACCACAGCCACTACCACAACCACTACCACAACCACTGCCATGGCCACTACCACAACCACTACCACAGCCAGCGGTGAAGAGTGCTGGTGAGTGACACTGGTGAGGAGGGTGAGTGAGGTGCACTGCTGGTGAGTGTCACTGGTGAGGAGGGTGAGTTGTCCCAGCAGCTGCTGGTGAGTGTCACTGGTGAGGAGGGTGAGTTGTCCCAGCAGCTGCTGGCAGCAGCCTGGCAAGGCGATGGGGAAGCTCTCTCGGAGTGTGCAGGCGGTGCAACTGCACCATGGACCGGAGCAGCCTCGACGAAGATGCGGGGGGGAGGGGGCGAGGTAGGCTAATTGGACAGGTTGGGGGGGGCTAATTGGACAGGTTGGTGGGGGGGTAGGCTAATTGGACAGGTTGGTGGGGGGGTAGGCTAATTGGACAGGTTGGGGGGGGCTAATTGGACAGGTTGGGGGGGGGTAGGCTAATTGGACAGGTTGGTGGGGGGGGCAGGCTAATTGGACAGGTTGGTGGGGGAGGGGGTAGGCTAATTGGACAGGTTGGTGGGGGGTAGGCTAATTGGACAGGTTGGTGGGGGGGGGCAGGCTAATTGGACAGGTTGGTGGGGGGGGGGGGTTGGCTAATTGGACAGGTTGGTGGGGGGAGGGGGTAGGCTAATTAGAGAGGTTGGTGGGGGGGGGGTAATTGGACAGGTTGTTTGGTGGGGGGGTAGGGTAATTGGAGAGGTTGGTGGGGGGGTAGGCTAATTGGACAGGTTGGTGGGGGGGGTAGGCTAATTGGACAGGTTGGTGGGGGGGGGGGCAGGCTAATTGGACAGGTTGGTGGGGGGGGTAGGCTAATTGGACAGGTTGGTGGGGGGGGCAGCTAATTGGACAGGTTGGTTGGTGGGGGGGGGGTAGGCTAATTGGAGAGGTTGGTGGGGGGGGTAGGCTAATTGGAGAGGTTGGTGGGGGGGGTAGGCTAATTGGACAGGTTAGTTGGTGGGGGGGTAGGCTAATTGGAGAGGTTGGTGGGGGGGTAGGCTAATTGGACAGGTTGGTGGGGGGGGCCCACAGTTAATTGCCTGCACTAGTTGGGCCCATCACTGAGGACGCTGCCTCCGCTGGCCATGACGTCAGGCCGCGTGGCCGCTAATCTGTCTCTCGTCTACAGCCATCTCACCTCTCTAGCTCGTCTCACTACTCCGTATCTCTTGCGTTCTGCTCTGAGATCTCACATCTCTCTCTCTCTCATCTCGCTCATGCAAAGGCATTCTCTCTCCGCTGACACCTCCCATTCGGCGGGCACCGCGGTTCGTTCGGCGCGTGGCGGCGGCACGGGATGGCAGTGGCCGATCCCCAAGACCGCGAATGTCGGCAGGCGGCGACTGCAACGGCGGCACTGCCATCGCCGGCGGCGGTCGGCCGTGTCTGGGTCTCGCCGCCGCCCGTCGGGGTGAACCGCCCGCCCGCTCGCTCGCGTTCTCTCAACCCTCTTGAGCCGCTGGTTCCAAACGCCAACACCGGCGCTCAGTTCGCTCGAGCTGGTGGGCTTGGATGAGGCCAGAGGAGAGCCGTCGCACACCTCGGCTCATCGTCAAATCTTGTTCCCCTTGGGTGGGGAAGGTCGGCGGGGGGGTGGGTGGTTGGGTGGTGGGTGGCGTGGGGTGGGTGGGTGGGTGGGGTGGGGTGGGTGGGTGGGGTGGGTCAGGTGGGTGGGTGGCGTGGGTCAGGTGGGTGGGTGGCGTGGGGTGGTTGGGTAGGGTGGGTGGGGTGGTTGGGTGGGGTGAGGTGGGTAGGTCAGGTGGGTGGGTGGCGTGGGTCAGGTGGGTGGCTGGCGTGGGTCAGGTGGGTGCCGTGGGTCAGGTGGGGTGGGTGCCGTGGGTCAGGTGGGTCAGGTGGGTGGGTGCCGTGGGTCAGGTGGGTCAGGTGGGTGGGTGCCGTGGGTCAGGTGGGTGGGTGCCGTGGGTCAGGTGGGGTGGGTGCCGTGGGTCAGGTGGGTCAGGTGGGTGGGTGCGCCAATCTCCACTTCCTTCTTCTCCTCGCCCGCCCGCCCGCCCGCCCGCCCCGCGCCCGCGGCGGCAACCTGCGCCGGCGCTCAGAGGCACACGCTGAGGTCGCGCCGCACCGAGCACTTGTCGCAGTGCACCACGCAGCACCACTGGAAGCGGCACCGGCACGCCTCGCTGCTCACCACGCTCTCGCGCCGGACGCCGCGGCCGCAGCACAACAGCTCGCAGCCGCCCGTGTCGGGCGAGGTGGCGTTGCAGGCCCGGCCGCGCGTGCCCGGCGAGCCCGTGCGTCGGTTCGGCGCGCAGAAGTCGGGCGACCGCGCCGAGTAGAGGAGGTCGCGGGCGCCGGGCGGCTTGGCGTTGCCCCCGACGGGCGTCAGCGAGCGGCCGTCGTTACTGCCCATCACCTTGAAGGCGCCGTTGAAGCGCGCGCGCAGGCGGTCGCCCACGTCGCGGAACGACGGCATCCTGCGCCAGCACGTGCGGAGGGCGCACGAGCCCGAGAGGCCGTGGCACTTGCACTCGACTCGCGTGTGCTCCCGCAGGGCCTGGGCGTCGCGGGGCAGGCGGTGGGGGGGGGGGGGGGGTGGCAGGGGGGTGATAGAGGGGGCAAGGGGGGTAGGAGAGGGGCAGGGGGGCGGGAGAGGAGGCAGGGAGGTGGGAGAGGGGGGTGGGAGAGGGGGCAGGGGGGTGGGAGAGGGGGCAGGGGGGTGGGAGAGGGGGCAGGGGGGTGGGAGAGGGGGCAGGGGGGTGGGAGAGGGGGCAGGGGGGTGGGAGAGGGGGCAGGGGGGTGGGAGAGGGGGCAGGGGGGTGGGAGAGGGGGCGGGGGGGGGGAGAGGTGGCAGGGGGGTGGGAGAGGGAGCAGGGGGGTGGGATGGGAGAGGGTGCAGGGGGTGAGCACAGGAAGAGAGAGAGACTTGTGAGACGTGGGTGGTGAATGAGAGGCGGACTGACTTATGACGAGCGGGCAACAACGCGGACGAAGTTCCGCACCTGCGATTAGCGCGGTTGGCTACGCACGGTGCAAAATAAGTTCGCATTCATCCAATCTAAATAACAATTCACATTCTGGAGTGGAATCGCTTTTTGAGGAAACGCTTTTCAAGACGCGATGGAAAAAGCGCGAATTTTAAATTAAATTTGTGCCGCTCGACGTCTCTGTGACGCGGTGTGTCGCGGTGTGACGCGGTGTGACGCGGTGTGTCACGGTATGTCACGGTGTGTCACGGTGTGACGCGGTGTGTCATGGTGTGTCACGGTGTGACGCGGTGTGTCATGGTGTGTCACGGTGTGTCACGGTGTGTCGCGGTGTGTCACGGTGTGTCACGGTGTGTCGCGGTGTGACGCGGTGTGTCACGGTGTGTCACGATGTGTCACGGTGTGTCGCGGTGTGACGCGGTGTGTCACGATGTGTCACGGTGTGTCGCGGTGTGACGCGGTGTGTCACGGTGTGTCACGGTGTGTCGCGGTGTGACGCGGTGTGTCACGGTGTGTCACGATGTGTCACGGTGTGTCACGGTGTGTCACGGTGTGACGCGGTGTGTCATGGTGTGTCACGGTGTGACGCGGTGTGTCACGGTGTGTCACGGTGTGACGCGGTGTGACGCGGTGTGTCACGGTGTGTCACGGTGTGTCGCGGTGTGTCACGGTGTGTCGCGGTGTGACGCGGTGTGTCACGGTGTGTCACGGTGTGTCACGGTGTGACGTGGTGTGTCATGGTGTGTCACGGTGTGTCGCGGTGTGACGCGGTGTGTCACGGTGTGTCGCGGTGTGACGCGGTGTGTCACGATGTGTCACGGTGTGTCGCGGTGTGACGCGGTGTGTCACGGTGTGTCACGGTGTGTCGCGGTGTGACGCGGTGTGTCACGGTGTGTCATGGTGTGTCGCGGTGTGACGCGGTGTGTCACGGTGTGTCGCGGTGTGACGCGGTGTGACGCGGTGTGTCACGGTGTGTCGCGGTGTGACGCGGTGTGTCACGGTGTGTCGCGGTGTGACGCGGTGTGACGCGGTGTGACGCGGTGTGTCACAGTGTGTCGCGGTGTGACGCGGTGTGTCACGGTGTGACGCGGTGTGACGCGGTGTGTCACGGTGTGACGCGGTGTGACGCGGTGTGTCACGGTGTGACGCGGTGTGACGCGGTGTGTCGCGGTGTGACGCGGTGTGTCGCGGTGTGACGCGGTGTGTCACGGTGTGTCACGGTGTGACGCGGTGTGTCACGGTGTGTCACGGTGTGTCATGGTGTGTCGCGGTGTGTCACGGTGTGACGCGGTGTGTCACGGTGTGACGCGGTGTGTCGCGGTGTGACGCGGTGTGACGCGGTGTGTCACGGTGTGACGCGGTGTGTCACGGTGTGTCGCGGTGTAAAGCGGTGTGTCACGGTGTGACGCGGTGTGACGCGGTGTGTCACGGTGTGACGCGGTGTGTCACGGTGTGTCGCGGTGTGTCACGGTGTGACGCGGTGTGTCACGGTGTGTCGCGGTGTGTCACGGTGTGTCGCGGTGTGTCGCGGTGTGTCGCGGTGTGACGCGGTGTGTCGTGGTGTGACGCGGTGTGTCATGGTGTGACGCGGTGTGACGCGGTGTGTCGCGGTGTGACGCGGTGTGTCACGGTGTGTCATGGTGTGACGCGGTGTGATGCGGTGTGTCGCGGTGTGTCGCGGTGTGACGCGGTGTGTCACGGTGTGACGCGGTGTGTCGCGGTGTGACGCGTTGTGACGCGGTGTGCCGACGTGCCGTGTTGTCCAGCCGCTGGTGCTCGCGCATTGAAAGTGGCTCCAGCGCAATTGCGGCTGGCAGCAAGAAAATCGTCTGCAGCGGGAGACGCCGGGCTGGAGGTGAGAAAAGATGCAAAGGGGGCTGCTCAATCTCCTTCGAGGATCTCACAAGCCCCCGACGAAGGACGTTGTCGCCTCGTTACTTTGGCCCCTGTGGGAAACGTGAAGATCAACTCGTTGCCATGTTTCCCCACCTCCAAGCGGGCGTTTTCGCAGTGCGACGTTCGCCACGCCAATGGTGTCGATAAGAGGGCCCGAGCCTCTTCTTAATTCTCGGAGCAGTCCCCAACCTTTTTGGCACCAGGGACCGGTTTCGTGGAAAAGTATTTATTTTCACGGACCGGGGGGGGGGGGGGGGGGGGGTTCATCATTGGGTCTTTCCCCCTTTTCAAAGAAGCTCTCCAGCTACGTTTGTTTGTTACTCATTGTGGTTACTAGGGGTTAGAGCTTGTGGGCTTACTCATTGTGGCTACTAGGGGTTAGAGCTTGTGGGCTTACTCATTGTGGCTACTAGGGGTCAGCTTGTGGGCTTACTCATTGTGGCTACTAGGGGTTAGCTTGTGGGCTTACTCATTGTGGCTACTAGGGGTTAGCTTGTGGGCTTACTCATTGTGGTTACTAGGGGTTAGAGCTTGTGGGCTTACTCATTGTGGCTACTAGGGGTTAGCTTGTGGGCTTACTCATTGTGGCTACTAGGGGTTAGAGTTTGTGGGCTTACTCATTGTGGCTACTAGGGGTTAGAGCTTGTGGGCTTACTCATTGTGGCTACTAGGGGTTAGAGCTTGTGGGCTTACTCATTGTGGCTACTAGGGGTCAGCTTGTGGGCTTACTCATTGTGGCTACTAGGGGTTAGCTTGTGGGCTTACTCATTGTGGTTACTAGGGGTTAGAGCTTGTGGGCTTACTCATTGTGGCTACTAGGGGTTAGCTTGTGGGCTTACTCATTGTGGCTACTAGGGGTTAGAGTTTGTGGGCTTACTCATTGTGGCTACTAGGGGTTAGAGCTTGTGGGCTTACTCATTGTGGCTACTAGGGGTTAGAGCTTGTGGGCTTACTCATTGTGGCTACTAGGGGTTAGAGCTTGTGGGCTTACTCATTGTGGCTACTAGGGGTTAGAGCTTGTGGGCTTACTCATTGTGGCTACGAGGGGTTACCTTGTGGGCTTACTCATTGTGGCTACTAGGGGTTAGCTTGTGGGCTTACTCATTGTGGCTACTAGGGGTTAACTTGTGGGCTTACTCATTGTGGCTACTAGGGGTTAGCTTGTGGGCTTACTCATTGTGGCTACTAGGGGTCAGCTTGTGGGCTTACTCATTGTGGCTACTAGGGGTCAGCTTGTGGGCTTACTCATTGTGGCTACTAGGGGTTAGCTTGTGGGCTTACTCATTGAGGCTACTAGGGGTTAGCTTGTGGGCTTACTCATTGTGGCTACTAGGGGTTAGCTTGTGGGCTTACTCATTGTGGCTACTAGGGGTCAGCTTGAGGGCTTACTCATTTTGGCTACTAGGGGTTAGCTTGTGTGCTTACTCATTGTGGCTACTAGGCGTTAGCTTGTGGGCTTACTCAATGTGGCTACTCGGGGTTAGCTTGTGGGCTTACTCATTGTGGCTACTAGGGGGTTAGAGCTTGTGGGCTTACTCATTGTGGCTACTAGGGGGTTAGAGCTTGTGGGCTTACTCATTGTGGCTACTAGGGGTTAGAGCTTGTGGGCTTACTCATTGTGGCTACTAGGGGTGAGCTTGTGGGCTTACTCATTGTGGCTACTAGGGGTTAGAGCTCGTGGGCTTACTCATTGTGGCTACTAGGGGTTAGGGCTTGTGGGCTTACTCATTGTGGCTACTAGGGGTGAGCTTGTGGGCTTACTCATTGTGGCTACTAGGGGTTAGCTTGTGGGCTTACTCATTGTGGTTACTAGGGGTTAGAGCTTGTGGGCTTACTCATTGTGGTTACTAGGGGTTAGAGCTTGTGGGCTTACTCATTGTGGCTACTAGGAGTTAGCTTGTGGGCTTACTCATTATGGCTACTAGGGGTCAGCTTGTGGGCTTACTCATTGTGGCTACTAGGGGTCAGCTTGTGGGCTTACTCATTGTGGCTACTAGGGGTTAGAGCTTGTGAGCTTACTCATTGTGGCTACTAGGGGTCAGCTTGTGGGCTTACTCATTGTGGCTACTAGGGGTTAGCTTGTGGGCTTACTCATTGTGGCTACTAGGGGTTAGCTTGTGGGCTTACTCATTGTGGTTACTAGGGGTTAGAGCTTGTGGGCTTACTCATTGTGGCTACTAGGGGTTAGCTTGTGGGCTTACTCATTGTGGCTACTAGGGGTTAGAGTTTGTGGGCTTACTCATTGTGGCTACTAGGGGTTAGAGCTTGTGGGCTTACTCATTGTGGCTACTAGGGGTTAGAGCTTGTGGGCTTACTCATTGTGGCTACTAGGGGTTAGAGCTTGTGGGCTTACTCATTGTGGCTACTAGGGGTTAGAGCTTGTGGGCTTACTCATTGTGGCTACGAGGGGTTACCTTGTGGGCTTACTCATTGTGGCTACTAGGGGTTAGCTTGTGGGCTTACTCATTGTGGCTACTAGGGGTTAGAGCTCGTGGGCTTACTCATTGTGGCTACTAGGGGTTAGGGCTTGTGGGCTTACTCATTGTGGCTACTAGGGGTGAGCTTGTGGGCTTACTCATTGTGGCTACTAGGGGTTAGCTTGTGGGCTTACTCATTGTGGTTACTAGGGGTTAGAGCTTGTGGGCTTACTCATTGTGGCTACTAGGAGTTAGCTTGTGGGCTTACTCATTATGGCTACTAGGGGTCAGCTTGTGGGCTTACTCATTGTGGCTACTAGGGGTCAGCTTGTGGGCTTACTCATTGTGGCTACTAGGGGTTAGCTTGTGGGCTTACTCATTGTGGCTACTAGGGGTCAGCTTGAGGGCTTACTCATTTTGGCTACTAGGGGTTAGCTTGTGTGCTTACTCATTGTGGCTACTAGGCGTTAGCTTGTGGGCTTACTCAATGTGGCTACTCGGGGTAAGCTTGTGGGCTTACTCATTGTGGCTACTAGAGGGTTAGAGCTTGTGGGCTTACTCATTGTGGCTACTAGGGGGTTAGAGCTTGTGGGCTTACTCATTGTGGCTACTAGGGGTTAGAGCTTGTGGGCTTACTCATTGTGGCTACTAGGGGTGAGCTTGTGGGCTTACTCATTGTGGCTACTAGGGGTTAGAGCTCGTGGGCTTACTCATTGTGGCTACTAGAGGTTAGAGCTTGTGGGCTTACTCATTGTGGCTACTAGGGGTTAGGGCTTGTGGGCTTACTCATTGTGGCTACTAGGGGTGAGCTTGTGGGCTTACTCATTGTGGCTACTAGGGGTTAGCTTGTGGGCTTACTCATTGTGGTTACTAGGGGTTAGAGCTTGTGGGCTTACTCATTGTGGCTACTAGGAGTTAGCTTGTGGGCTTACTCATTATGGCTACTAGGGGTCAGCTTGTGGGCTTACTCATTGTGGCTACTAGGGGTTAGCTTGTGGGCTTACTCATTGTGGCTACTAGGGGTTAGAGCTTGTGAGCTTACTCATTGTGGCTACTAGGGGTCAGCTTGTGGGCTTACTCATTGTGGCTACTAGGGGTTAGCTTGTGGGCTTACTCATTGTGGCTACTAGGGGTTAGCTTGTGGGCTTACTCATTGTGGTTACTAGGGGTTAGAGCTTGTGGGCTTACTCATTGTGGCTACTAGGGGTTAGCTTGTGGGCTTACTCATTGTGGCTACTAGGGGTTAGAGTTTGTGGGCTTACTCATTGTGGCTACTAGGGGTTAGAGCTTGTGGGCTTACTCATTGTGGCTACTAGGGGTTAGAGCTTGTGGGCTTACTCATTGTGGCTACTAGGGGTTAGAGCTTGTGGGCTTACTCATTGCGGCTACTAGGGGTTAGAGCTTGTGGGCTTACTCATTGTGGCTACGAGGGGTTACCTTGTGGGCTTACTCATTGTGGCTACTAGGGGTTAGCTTGTGGGCTTACTCATTGTGGCTACTAGGGGTTAACTTGTGGGCTTACTCATTGTGGCTACTAGGGGTTAGCTTGTGGGCTTACTCATTGTGGCTACTAGGGGTCAGCTTGTGGGCTTACTCATTGTGGCTACTAGGGGTCAGCTTGTGGGCTTACTCATTGTGGCTACTAGGGGTTAGCTTGTGGGCTTACTCATTGAGGCTACTAGGGGTTAGCTTGTGGGCTTACTCATTGTGGCTACTAGGGGTTAGCTTGTGGGCTTACTCATTGTGGCTACTAGGGGTCAGCTTGAGGGCTTACTCATTTTGGCTACTAGGGGTTAGCTTGTGTGCTTACTCATTGTGGCTACTAGGCGTTAGCTTGTGGGCTTACTCAATGTGGCTACTCGGGGTTAGCTTGTGGGCTTACTCATTGTGGCTACTAGGGGGTTAGAGCTTGTGGGCTTACTCATTGTGGCTACTAGGGGGTTAGAGCTTGTGGGCTTACTCATTGTGGCTACTAGGGGTTAGAGCTTGTGGGCTTACTCATTGTGGCTACTAGGGGTGAGCTTGTGGGCTTACTCATTGTGGCTACTAGGGGTTAGAGCTCGTGGGCTTACTCATTGTGGCTACTAGGGGTTAGGGCTTGTGGGCTTACTCATTGTGGCTACTAGGGGTGAGCTTGTGGGCTTACTCATTGTGGCTACTAGGGGTTAGCTTGTGGGCTTACTCATTGTGGTTACTAGGGGTTAGAGCTTGTGGGCTTACTCATTGTGGCTACTAGGAGTTAGCTTGTGGGCTTACTCATTATGGCTACTAGGGGTCAGCTTGTGGGCTTACTCATTGTGGCTACTAGGGGTCAGCTTGTGGGCTTACTCATTGTGGCTACTAGGGGTTAGCTTGTGGGCTTACTCATTGTGGCAACTAGGGGTTAGAGCTTGTGGGTTTACTCATTGTGGCTACTAGGGGTTAGCGTGTGGGCTTACTCATTGTGGCTAATAGGGGTTAACTTGTGGGCTTACTCATTGTGGCTACTAGGGGTTAGCTTGTCGGCTTACTCATTGTGGCTACTAGGGGTCAGCTTGTGGGCTTACCAACACCACGTGACTGAGACTGAGTGCGCAGTGCGGGAAAGAGGCGCGGACGGAAGTGGTAAATAATAAAATAATGGGCGGGGCATGCGTGGACTCACCGCTCTCACCTCCGGCTGCTGTGCGGCCCGGTTCCCAACAGGCCACGGACCGGTACCGGTCCATGGCCCGGGGGTTGGGGACCCCTGCTCTACATCATCTCACCTCGACGCATTCGAAAGAGGCACCCCCTCCCCCCACCACCTGGTGGGGGGGGAGGTGACCCAGCGTCACCTGGCCCGCGAGAGAGGGGGCATCGGTCCTGCCGGGGACAGGGTCGAATCCCTGCCGAGTAATTTGTGGGGGCCAATTTTCTTCGTCTTTGTCACTGGGTCAACGCGGACTGTGACGGCGGCAGGGAGACATCTGCCCAAGGCGCCGGAGGTTGATGTCAGAGTTGGCTCAGCGGCAGGGGCACTACAGCTTGCACATGTCTAGTGAGTTTGTCTGTACTTATTGAGGATGATGCTGCTGCTCATGATGATGATACTCGTGCCGCTGCTGATTGATATTGCTGTTGCTGCTGCTTCTATTGCTGATGCTACTGCTGATACTACTGTTGACACTTGCTGATGCTGCTGCTGATACTAATGATGCCGATGACGCTCCCTTCCCAGTAAACATGGAACTGTTGGGTCACGCAACGGTGCGAACCACATGCCAACGTTGGCACAAAGATGCCAACCACATGCCAACGTCGGCCCAACGATTCCAGCCACATACCAACGTTGGCACAACGGTGCCAACCACATCCCAACGTCGGCCCAACGATTCCAACCATATGGCAACGTTGGCACAACGATTCCAGCCACATGCCAACGTTGGCGTAACGATTCGAGCCACATGCCAACGTTGGCGTAACGATTCCAGCCACATGCCAACGTTGGCGCAAGGAAACAGCCACATGCCAACGTCGACCCAACGATTCCAACCACATGCCAACGTCGGCCCAACGTTGGCCCAACGGTTCCCACCACTTGGTCTCCCCCCCCCCCGCCCCGCGCCTCACCAGCCGCCCGGCCTCGTGGTTGTGCCTGTCCAGCAGGGACTTGATGTCGCTGCCGCTCCGGCGTCGCCGCTGCTGCTCCATGTAGAGGCGCGACTTGTCGTAGCCGAACGCCACGTCGTCTCCGCAGCCACCCCACTCCCACACCTCGACCCCCGCCGCCGCTGGGCCCCGCGCCAGGGGCGAGGGCGCCCCCCCCAGCGAAGGGGGCTGGTGGATAGCGGTGGCCGCCGCCGCCGCCGCCGCCGCTGCCGCCGATGGCGACGATGGTGACGATGGTGATGAGAAGGAGGTTGAGGGCAGTGGGGGTCGCCTGCCTCTCGCGTCCTCGCAGCCGCACTGGGGCAGCTCGCCCAGGCTGCACGCCTTGGTGACGGCGTAGAGAACCCCCGCAGCCATGATCGCGTTCACGAAGGCCGTCTCGCGGATGTCTGGGAGGAGGATGGGGTCCAGGGAGGAGGTGGTGGTGGTGGTGCGGGAGAGGGAAGGGGTGTGGGAGGAAGAGGTGGTGGAGAATACTATTGTCGTCATCGTCAGCATCATCATCTTAAAAATCATCAGCATCATCGACCATCATCTTAATAATCACCATCATCATCACCACCATCATCTTAGTCACATTACTCATCAACAGCAGCAAATGTCTGGGTGACAGGATCATCGCAGGCATCGTCAGCAGCGGACGCAGCAGTCGCATCGCGGCAATCACGGGTGACGTGGCGAGTCATGTTTCAGGGAATTGAAGAGCAATGTCAGACAGCTGGGCCCGCCGAGACAGTTTCCATCTCCCCAGCAGCAACTCCGAGACCACCGCTCATCCTCGCAGCGCCGCGCGCCTCTCGGAACCCCCGAGGAGCGAAGGCTGCGGCGAGCCTCCTCGTTCCCGGACGTGGGACGCCACAGACGGTTGCAGTGAGCCCGCCGCAAGCTCTCAGCTACTCGGAACTCGGAACGCCTCCTCCGTGAACATGTTTGTTTTGTTGTAGTACGGAGTTAGACTGGATGGCCTTAATCTAAGTTGTCTTGTGGTTGTTGTTGTTTGACTTGCATCCCACTGGGATTTTTTTTTGCACACAGCGTTGGTGTACGGTGCTTTTTTTTTTCAGGAATATTTTTGCTGGTTTTTTTTTCCATGGATTTTCTGTTGGCACAGTCACATAGTCACTTTAAGATGTTTTTATTGTTCGTGTTTTTGTTTTTGTGTTTGTTGTGGTTGCACCCGATTCAAGAGCCGAATGGCTCACAGGGCTATACCAAAATAAACTGAAAACTGAAACTGAAACAGGGTCTCTGGGGAAGTCTGGGCCGCGTACACAACGCATCCACAGCAGCTGCTGGGGCCACAGTCCTGAACCTCACCCATTTCCCATCGGCATCTGGAGCACGGGGGAATGGGGGGGGGGGATGATGCCAACCCGAGTTGCGAGCGATGATGGAACTCTCCCTGGCAACGTTCAGCAGCGAGCCGAGACCAGGCCACTGTGGGTGTGGATGGTGTCCTCGGTGGACACCCACCACCGCAGTGGAAGAATGGCAGCAAGTCGATGGTCAGTGGACAGATCACCTCCACGGTAGGTCCTGTTGTCAAGGCCACATACGGTATATCTCGATATATAGTCCAGCAGATGTTCTTGCTTGGACACAGCTTACATCGATGATGCGAGGGTGCGCCGATGCTGAGACGAGAGCGTGTTGGTGATCACAAGCCCACGGGCTGCGCAGAAGTCTAGCAGTTTTTGAGCTGCTCAGGCTCATGCCTTCCGATCACTCCATCCCAGGTGCCTGCGTCATGGCCCACTGGGGCATTGAAGCCACCCAACAGGATGACACTATGTCACCGAGAGGGGCCACTTTAGCCAACGCCTGGGACGGGACGTCGTCTAAGACGCGAGCGCGCGCACGGCACGCGCGTCCTCTCCCCGCGCCTCTTTTTTTTGGGCCACGCATCTCTGGGTTCCGCGCGTCACAGCAGTCGGCGGAGCACTCGGCGAGGCACGGCGGCGACTCGGCCCCCCCTTGCACGGCCACCGCGCGGGCCAACGGCCACCGTCAGCGGCACGACGCGGAGCGGGGAGGCCTTCGCCCGGCAGTGAACCCCGGGGAGTGGATGCGGTGCGTTTTGAAAACGCGCCGCCGGGTCAACGGGGACGAAGGGTTCGAAATGTTCATCCTCCGGTGCAGCAACCGCTCACGGCAACGACGTCGGCCACTGAACTCGGTTTCGCCGGGGCTCGTGGCGCGGTGCGCTGGCCACTGACGCCCGACGTTGCTTCGCTCATTGAACGCCAAAGACAAAGGTGCCAGCGTAGCCTCTGACGGGAACGTTGGGGAAAGTCCTGTTAGCGGGCAACTACGGTGCACGAGTGTGTGTGTGTGTGGGTGGCCAGCACCAAGCCCGGCCGCCTTTGTCTCCCCAGTGCTGATTTAGGACTGAGTCTACCTAGGGGATTGCCCAGGACCAGTTCAAATATTCGCCACCAATGTTGGTCGTGGTGCGCTAACCGCTGCACCACGGTTCCTTTATCAGACACACACACTCACAACAACAACAACGGCCATTCGCCACTAAGTGGCGGTGACGTCACCACGACGCTTGTGCCAGGCCATGCGCACCTTGCGGCCACGTGAAGTGTCGAACGCCCGCTGACAGGAGGTCACGGGGCAGACCCAGGTGCCACGGGTCGACTGACTGAGATGACTGGCTGATGCACCATCTGTGCCCCCTACTGTGCCAACCTGCTGCGCTATAGCCACCCGGCGCTCCGCTCGTTGTTGTGAGCGTCGCTCCTCCGCCCTCCGTTGTTGTTGGAGGGCGACTGCCTCCAACTGCCCAATAGCGTCCTTCACGAACCTCCTCCACAGAGGCCGATCTTGACACCGCTGGTACCAGTCATCGGCAAGGCCACTCAGCTCCACGTCCTCCTGTACCACATCACTCCATCTCTTCTCTAGCCCGTGCCGCGCCCGTTTAGCCCCTATCGATCCGGCCGCACAAAAGCTGTTTCGGCATGCGGTGGCTGGGCATGCGGGCTACATGACCCAGCCAACGCAGCATTGCCTCCTGGAGGAGCTCACCGATGGGACCTTGCCCAGATCTTTCAAAGATTTGTGAGCTCCTCACAATCCAGCCTGGTTAAAACCCAGGATGGATCGTAGGATGGATCGTAGGCAGGCTAGCCTAAATGTTTCTAACCGGCGAAGATGTTCCATTAACGGGGTGCACGTTTCGCAAGCGTAGAGAAGGGAGGGAATGACCGTGGCCGAGAAGACCTGAAGCTTAGTGCGGAGCGACAGACCAGGTAGCTTCCACACAGCGTTACGCAACCGATGAAAATATATTGCCGCTCGACTGATTCGGAGTGAGACCTCTGCTGTTAAACTCACACACACTCACACACACAATTACACACAATCACACACACAATCACACACACACAATCACACACACACAATCACACACACAATCACACACACAATCACACACACACACGCAATCACAAACAATCACACACACACACAATCACACACACAATCACACTCACACAATCTCACACAATCACACACACAATCACACACACAATCACACACACAATCACACACACACTCACACACAATCGCACACAATCTCACATACACAAGCACACACAATCTCACACACACAATCACACACAATCTCACACACACAATCGCACACAAGCGCACACGCAATCTTACGCACACAGTCACACACAATCACACACACAATCACCTACACAATCACACACAGAATCACACACACAATCACATACACACACATTCCCAAACACACCCTCTGGCACGTACACACGCACGCATACCGTGCCCCAACATCACACACACCCGTAGGCGCACACACCATCGCCACACCCACACAAACACACACACACACATGCTTCCCATATCGACACACACCTCAAAACATTCCCACTCACACACACACACACTACACGTCACGAAGACAAAGATACCCCCTATAGGCTGAACAGACTGTTGGGGCAAGTGCTGTTAGCGAGCAGCACCTATGAAGGCCGGCACGGCACACGAGGGGGTGGGTGGCCAGCACCACGCCCGGCCGCCTTTGTCTCCCCAGTGGCGATGTTTACACGCCGTCCCTAGTACTCATTTGAAGCTGAGTCGACCTATGGGAGGCTCATGACCGGTTGAAATAATCGTCACTGGGTGTTGGCCGTGAGCGGGAATCGAACCTGGGTCGCTGGGTTCGTAGCGCAGCGAAGCGCTGACCACTACGTTACCGCTCCCCAAACAAAACATATCTCGCGTAGAGCCTGAACAGACCCCCCTCGCCCCCCATGCCCCCCCCCACCCCCATGGAGACCCCCCCCATGGAGACCACCCCCCCCATGCACCCCCCCGCACCTCCCCTCTCACGCACCCTGCTGCAGGATCCTGTCGAAGCCCTTCCCGTGCCCCGTGCAGTTCCAGCGCCTCGCTCGGAACTGAAATCCGCACTCCCGAAGGCCGAGCCGCGCTCCCTTTGCCGCCTCGGCCACCACCCCCGGCTCGGCGAGGCACAGCTCCGCCAACCTCCTCGCCTTGCGGCAGATCCCGTTGGGGTCTCCTCCCAGGGGCACCCCCATCGACCTGGGGCGGGTGGGGTGGGCGGGTGGGGTGGGCGGGTGGGGTGGGGAGGGGTGGGTGGGGACGGTGGGTGGGGAGGGGTGGGTAGGTGGGTGGGGAGGGAGTGGGTGGGCGGGTGGGTGAGTGGTGGGATGGAAGGGTGGAGAATATTTAGGGTTCAAAGTTAGCGATGGCCAAGAGTCCGCACTGGAAGTCAGCTCTGACCCTTCGCGCTCTCGCCCAAGCTCCGCTGTCCTCTACATATGAAGGCGGTATCGGAGTGCGCATACAGTACACGTGGGAGAAAACCGTAGCACCCGGAGAAAACCCCGCGTGTGCGAGGGGACAACGCTGTATCCCGTGCGTATGGAGCAGGTGGGGGCCGCGCTTTGCTGTACGCCCGCCCGCCTCTTGGCGAGGCTCCTTGACGCTCACGGGAAAGGAGTTTCACAGCCCATCTGTGTGTGATCGACCAACCCTCGCTTCATGCTACCTAAGCAGTGGGGGATCACGGACCACGCCACGTGGACCCTAGCCACCACGATCACCGCCCGTATGACAAACGAGAAAGCCCCTCGACTGATCAGACGGTAAAAACAAAAAAAATCTGGGTTTAATATTACGTTCGATATGTCTACGGTAACCCGCCAAGGAATGTGGAATGTCCACCACTGGCTCCGGTCTGTAAACAAGAGAGAAGCGTTTGAATGCTCATCTGAGCTGGAAATCGCTTCACGTATTTATTTCCCAGAACGTTGCAAGGTGGTCAGCTGACTTGGAGTAGGACTATTGACATTAGGCACTACCACTATAGCGCAGTACAACGTATGCCCATCCGTGATAATGATCATATATTATTGTCCTCTATATTCCCTTAATCCAGTTGTTTTTAACCTTTACTGCAGCTTTTCACTCCCCTTGGTTCTCAATAGTAAAAAAAGTACAATGTTAATACATTCATAGGGCTTGATGAAACAAAGTAAGTTTCACGTTGCCCCGTGCTTAATTTGTGTTTTCGATTATTAAACCTCAAAAAAAAATCCAGCCATGTCTCGCCACCCCCCAGAAAGGGCATCTCGCATCCCCAAGGGGGTGCAGCGTGCATCCCCCAAGTTAAGAAGAAAAATAACCACTGCCATAATCCTACGGGCAGGCGGATCAATATCGTGGGGGGCTTCGACAAAGGCGGCGTGGTGGATGCGGCGTCCCGAGGTCATTCACGGCGCAACGTTCCCGGGACTGCCCTGGCCGAAATTCAGCCACTGGGCCACGAACGGTGGACACGGTCACAGGAGCCGGGCGGGTTTGTCGGGACACAATTATTGGACTTGTTTCGTGAAGCATTCACGGAGAAATGGAACAAAGCCCGTCGCGATAAGACGCCTCAATCAATGATCCTCTTCTGTTCAAAACAGGAGATGGAACGGACATGATGGACTGCAGACCCTCCCCCCCCCCCAAGTCCAGTCAGCATGGTCCAACCTTGGGCCAACGTTGGGCATGTGGTGGGAATCTTTGAGTCAACGTTGCCTCAATGTTGGGCCATCTGAGTCATCACCGTCTCACTCAACACCACCACCCTCATCACAATCTCACTCAACACCACCACCCTCATCACCATCTCACTCAACACCACCACCATCATCACCATCTCACTCAAAACCACCACCCTCATCACCATCTCACTCAACACCACCACCCTCATCACCACCACCATCATCACAATCTCACTCAACACCACCACCCTCATCACCATTTCACTCAACACCACCACACTCATCACCATCTCACTCAGCACCACCACCTTCATCACAATCTCACTCAACACCACCACCATCATCACAATCTTACTCAACACCACCACCCTCATCACCATCTCACTCAACACCACCACCACCATCATCACCATCTCACTCAACACCACCACCCTCATCACCATCTCACTCAAAACCACCACCCTCATCACTATCTCACACAACACCACCACCACCTTCATCACCATCTCACTCAACACCACCACCATCATCACCATCTCACTCAACACCACCACCATCATCACAATCTCACTCAACACCACCACCCTCATCACAATCTCACTCAACACCACCACCATCATCACCATCTCACTCAACACCACCACAATCATCACCATCTCACTCAACACCACCACCCTCATCATCATCTCACTCAACACCACCACCCTCATCACCATCTCACTCAACACCACCACCCTCATCACAATCTCACTCAACACCACCACCCTCATCACCATCTCACTCAACACCACCACCCTCATCACCACCACCATCATCACAATCTCACTCAACACCACCACCCTCATCACAATCTCACTCAACACCACCACCCTCATCACCATCTCACTCAACACCATCATCACAATCTCACTCAACACCACCACCCTCATCACCATCTCACTCAACACCACCACCCTCATCACAATCTCACTAAACACCACCACCATCATCACCATCTCACTCAACACCACCACCATCATCACAATCTCACTGAACACCACCACCCTCATCACAATATCACTCAACACCACCACCATCATCACAATCTCACTCAACACCGCCACCCTTATCACCATCTCACTCAACACCACCACCATCATCACAATCTCACTCAACACCACCACCATCATCACCATCTCACTCAACACCACCACCACCACCTTCATCACCATCTCACTCAACACCACCACCCTCATCACAATCTCACTCAACACCACCACCCTCATCACCATCTCACTCAACACCACCACCATCATCACCATCTCACTCAAAACCACCACCCTCATCACCATCTCAATCAACGCCACCACCCTCATCACCACCACCATCATCACAATCTCACTCAACACCACCACCCTCATCACCATCTCACTCAACACCACCACCACCATCATCACCATCTCACTCAACACCACCACCCTCATCACCATCTCACTCAAAACCACCACCCTCATCACCATCTCACACAACACCACCACCACCTTCATCACCATCTCACTCAACACCACCACCATCATCACCATCTCACTCAACACCACCACCATCATCACAATCTCACTCAACACCACCACCCTCATCACAATCTCACTCAACACCACCAACATCATCACCATCTCACTCAACACCACCACAATCATCACCATCTCACTCAACACCACCACCCTCATCATCATCTCACTCAACACCACCACCCTCATCACCATCTCACTCAACACCACCACCCTCATCACAATCTCACTCAACACCACCACCCTCATCACCATCTCACTCTACACCACCACCCTCATCACCACCACCATCATCACAATCTCACTCAACACCACCACCCTCATCACAATCTCACTCAACACCACCACCCTCATCACCATCTCACTCAACACCATCATCACCATCTCACTCAACACCACCACCCTCATCACAATCTCAATAAATACCACCACCATCATCACCATCTCACTCAACACCACCACCATCATCACAATCTCACTGAACACCACCACCACCACCCTCATCACAATATCACTCAACACCACCACCATCATCACAATCTCACTCAACACCGCCACCATTATCACCATCTCACTCAACACCACCACCATCATCACAATCTCACTCAACACCACCACCATCATCACCATCTCACTCAACACCACCACCACCACCACCACCACCTTCATCACCATCTCACTCAACACCACCACCCTCATCACAATCTCACTAAACACCACCACCCTCATCACCATCTCACTCAACACCACCACCCTCATCACCACGACCATCATCACAATCTCACTCAACACCACCACCCTCATCACCATCTCACTCAACACCACCACCATCATCACAATCTCACTCAACACCACCACCCTCATCACCATCTCACTCAACACCACCACCCTCATCACCATCTCACTCAATACCACCACCTTCATCACCACCACCATCATCACAATCTCACTCAACACCACCACCATCATCACAATCTCACTGAACACCACCACCATCATCACAATCTCACTCAACACCACCACCCTCATCACAATCTCACTCAACACCACCACCATCATCACCATCTCACTCAACACACCACCATCATCACACTCTCACTCAACACCACCACCCTCATCACCATCTCACTCAACACCACCACCCTCATCACCATCTCACTCAACACCACCACCATCATCACCATCTCACTCAACACCACCACCCTCATCACAATCTCACTAAACACCACCACCCTCATCACCATCTCACTCAACACCACCACCATCATCACCATCTCACTCAAAACCACCACCCTCATCACCATCTCACTCAACACCACCACCCTCATCACCATCTCACTCAACACCACCACTCTCATCACCATCTCACTCAACACCACCACCCTCATCACCATCTCACTCAACACCACCACCATCATCACCATCTCACTCAACACCACCACCATCATCACCATCTCACTCAACACCACCACCATCATCACCATCTCACTCAACACCACCACCATCATCACGATCTCACTCAACACCACCACCATCATCACCATCCCACTCAACACCATCGCCACCACCATCATCACCATCTCACTCAACACCACCACCCTCATCACCATCTCACTCAACACCACCACCACCACCATCACCATCTCACTCACCTCCATGTAACTTAAAAAAATCCACCACTACCAAACTAACCACAACAAACCTCCGTTATCTTTCAATACTCTCAAACCACACCACCACAATCATCTCACAATCTCACTCAATACCACCAGGTCACTCAACACCACCACCACAATCATCTCACAATCTCACTCAATACCACCATGTCACTCAACACCACCACCACCACAATCATCTCACTCAATACCACCATGTCACTCAACACCACCACCACAATCATCTCACTCAATACCACCATGTCACTCAACACCACCACCACAATCATCTCACTTAATACCACCATGTCACTCAACACCACCACCACAATCATCTCACTCAATACCACCATGTCATTCAACACCACCACCACAATCATCTCACTCAATACCACCATGTCACTCAACACCACCACCACCACCACCACAATCATCTCACTCAATACCACCATGTCACTCAACACCATCACGACAATCATCTCACAATCTGACTCAATACCACCATGTCACTCAACACCACCACCACCACCACCACAATCATCTCACTCAATACCACCATGTCACTCACCACCACCACAATCATCTCACTCAATACCACCATGTCACTCAACACCATCACCACAATCATCTCACAATCTCACTCAATACCGCCATGTCACTCAACACCACCACCACAATCATCTCACTCAATACCACCATGTCACTCAACACCATCACCACAATCATCTCATTCAATACCACCATGTCACTCAACACCATCACCACAATCATCTCACAATCTCACTCAATACCACCATGTCACTCAACACCACCACCACAATCATCTCACTCAATACCACCATGTCACTCACCACCACCACCACAATCATCTCACTCAATACCACCATGTCACTCAACACCATCACCACAATCATCTCACAATCTCACTCAATACCACCATGTCACTCAACACCACCACCACAATCATCTCACTCAATACCACCATGTCACTCACCACCACCACCACAATCATCTCACTCAATACCACCATGTCACTCAACACCATCACCACAATCATCTCACAATCTCACTCAATACCACCATGTCACTCAACACCACCACCACAATCATCTCACTCAATACCACCATGTCACTCAACACCATCACCACAATCATCTCACTCAATACCACCATGTCACTCAACACCATCACCACAATCATCTCACTCAATACCACCATGTCACTCAACACCACCACCACCACCACAATCATCTCACTCAATACCACCATGTCACTCAACACCACCACCACCACAACCATCTCACTCAATACCACCATGTCACTCAACACCATCACCACAATCATCTCACTCAATACCACCATGTCACTCAACACCATCACCACAATCATCTCACAATCTCACTCAATACCACCATGTCACTCAACACCACCATCACCACAATCATCTCACTCAATACCACCATGTCACTCAACACCACCATCACCACAATCATCTCACTCAATACCACCGTGTCACTCAACACCACCATCACCACAATCATCTCACTCAATACCACCATGTCATTCAACACCACAATCATCTCACTCAATACCACCATGTCACTCAACACCATCACATTATTCACCAATACACCATCACCCTATCCGCACCTGCGATGAGCACGGTTGGCTACGTACGGTGAGAAAGAAGTTCAACGTACACACAATACCAACACCACAATTTCACCACCATCTCGCGCCACACATTCACCTCGCTCACCATCACCACAGCCACCATCCCTCACCTCCTTGCGTGCCATTCATATCCACCCTTCAACCACACCACCTCCTCACTCACGACCCTCAACTCACCACCAGATGCCGATTATGTGAGCCGGGCAGATGAGCAGAAGCAGCATCACCATGTTCCCGGGACCCGGCGTCATGTCCACAGCCAATGTTGGGAACTGGGTCGAGTCCGTTTACAAATTCCAACTTCTGGTTGATGGGGCGGAGGTGGTGGCGGTGGGTAAATCCACTCAGCTGGTCTCACTGGAGGTCCGGCGAGATGGGGTCGGAGGGGCTGAGGGACGACTCCTTCACCTCCTCACCACGGACCTTCCTCTCCTCCTCCATCTCCATCCCCTCCTCGTGGCGCGGCTCCTCGTCAGCGTCGTCCTGAGCGCGCGCGGCGCATTTGCGCGTCAGATCGGAGCGAGCTGAAGACACATTTCTCTTTTTTTTTTCGTTTTGTTTGCTTGTTTTGGTGGCGATAAATTGCCCACCGCAACCAACACCACCGCCACCGCCACCGCCGCCGAGACCACGACCAACACGACCACCACAATTATAACGATCGCCACGAATCACGGCCACCACGTATGACCGTGACCAAGTCAACCACCACGACCAGCTGGAGCACGAAAGCCAATCACGACGACCACTACGACTACAACCACCACCACCACCACGGGCACATCCACTTGGACCGCCTCGACCACGATTGTCACCAGCACAACGACTACAACAACTACCACCACCACGAACCACGACTACAACAACTACCACCACCACGACTACCAACCACTAAGACCACCACCACCACACCCACACCCCGCAGTCGCGCCTCCTCCACGCTGCACAGGCGGGGCGAGGGGAGCGGGAGTGCGCGTGTGTGTTCGTGTGTACCTGTGTCTGTGTGTGTGTTCGTGTGTACCTGTGTCTGTGTGTGTGTGCCAGTGTGTGTGTGTTCGTGTGTACCTGTGTGTGTGTGTTCGTGTGTACCTGTGTGTGTGTGTGCCTGTGTGTGTGTGTTTGTGTGTACCTGTGTCTGTGTGTTCGTGTGTACCTGTGTGTGTGTGTTCGTGTGTACCTGTGTCTGTGTGTGTTCGTGTGTACCTGTGTGTGTGTGTTCGTGTGTACCTGTGTGTGTGTTCGTGTGCACCTGTGTCTGTGTGTGTGTGCCTGTGTGTGTGTTCGTACCTGTGTGTGTGTTCGTGTGTACATGTGTGTGTGTACATGTGTGTGTGTACCTGTGTGTGTGTGTGCCTGTATGTGTTCGTGTGTACCTGTGTGTGTGTTCGTGTGTACCTGTTTGTGTGTGTTCGTGTGTACCTGTGTGTGTGTGTTCATGTGTACCTGTGTGTTTATGTGCGTGCCTGTATGTGTGTGTTCGTGTGTACCTGTGTGTGTGTGTTCGTGTGTACCTGTGTGTGTGTACCTGTGTGTGTGTGATCGTGTGTACCTGTGTGTGTGATCGTGTGTACCTGTGTGTGTTCGTGTGTACCTGTGTGTGTGTGTACCTGTGTGTGTTTGTACCTGTGTGTATGTGTACCTGTGTGTGTTCGTGTGCACCTGTGTGTGTGTGTACCTGTGTGTGTGTACCTGTGTGTGTGTACCTGTGTGTGTGTTCGTGTGTACCTGTGTTTGTGTACCTGTGTGTGTTCGTGTGTACCTGTGTGTGTTCGTGTGTACCTGTGTGTGTACCTGTGTGTGTGTTCGTGTGTACCTGTGTGTGTGTACCTGTGGGTGTGTGTTCGTGTGTATCTGTGTATGTGTGTGTGTTCTTGTGTTTCTGTGTGTGTGTACCTTGTGTGTGTACCTGTGTGTGTGTTCATGCGTACTTGTGTGTGTGTTCGTGCGTACCTGTGTCTGTGTACCTGTGTATCTGTGTGTTCGTGTGTACCTGTGTGTGTGTGTGTTTGTGTGTACCTGTGTGTGTGTTCGTGTGTACCTGTGTGTGTGTACCTGTATCTGTGTGTGTTCGTGTGTACCTGTGTTTGTGTTCGTGTGTACCTGTGTGTGTTCGTGCGTACCTGTGTCTGTGTACCTGTGTATGTGTGTTTCTGTGTGTGTGTACCTGTGTGTGTGTGTTCGTGTGTACCTGTGTGTGTACCTGTATCTGTGTGTGTTCGTGCGTACCTGTGTCTGTGTACCTGTGTATGTGTGTGTTCCTGTGTGTGTGTACCTGTGTGTGTGTTCGTGTGTACCTGTGTGTGTTCGTGTGTAACTGTGTCTGTGTGTTTGTGCGTACCTGTGTGTGTTCGTGTGTACCTGTGAGTGTGTGTTCGTGTGTAATTGTGTGTGTGTAGCTGTGTGTGTGTTCGTGTGTATCTGTGTGTGTTCGTGTGCACCTGTGTGTGTGTTCGTGTGTACCTGTGTGTGTTCGCGTGTACCTGTGTGTGTGTGTACCTGTGTGTGTGCTTGTACCTGTGTGTGTGTGATCGTGTGTACCTGTGTGTGTACCTGTGTGTGTGTTCGTGTGTGTCTGTGTGTGTGATCGTGTGTACCTGTGTGTGTGTTCGTGTGTACCTGTGTGTGTGTGTCTGTGTGTTCGTGTACCTGTGTGTGTTCGTGTGTACCTGCGTACCTGTGTGTCTGTGTGTTTGTGTACCTGTGTGTGTTCGTGTGTACCTGTGTGTGTGTGTGCTTGTACCTGTGTGTGTGTGGGGGGAGCTGTAGTGTAGTGGTTAGCGCGCTGCGCTACGAACCCGGCAACCCGAATTCGATTCCCGGTCACGGCCCCGGGTCTCCCCAAGGTCTACTCAGCCTGAAAATTACTACCTAGCGTGTAAACATCACCGCTGGGGAGACAAAGGCGGCCGGGCGTGGTGTTGGTCACCAGCCCCCTCGTGTGCCGTGCCAGCCATCATTGGCACTTGCTCCAGACGTCTGTTAAGGCTGTACGGGGGATCTTAATTGTGTATACTTTGGAGAACAGACACTACTTCATAGCGCAGCGCGCTGACCGCTGCTACACTACCGCTCATCATCACCACCATCAACATCACCTCTACGAACATCAACATCACCACCATCGACATCATCACCACCATAATCATCACCACCACCACCACCACGAACATCAACATCATTGCCGCTGCCACCAGCATCATCGTCACCATCATCACCACCACCACCACCATCACAACCATCACCATCATCACCATCACTGCCATCCCCCGCTCGAGACAGACCCCTCCCATTCGCCCGTCGCATACCTCGAGACGCCGAGGGAGGGGGGGGGCAGAAGACCAGCGACTGCGCGTGTGCACGTGCGCGCGCGTGCACGTGCGCGCGAGTGTCTTTATGAGCGAGTTCGATTCCCGCTCAAGGTCACTGACACCAGCGACAATTCGTACCTGAAGCAGTCGCGGGCCTCCCCCAGGTGGAACTCAGCCTCACGTGAGCACCGTGCCCGGTGCGGTGTGTTTAAGCGTCGCCACTCGGGGAGACAAAGGCGGCCGGGCGTGGTTGCTGGTCACCCCCCCCCCCTTCGTGTGCAGGTGACGGCATGCAAAGTCTGTTAAGGCTCCACGGGGGCTCCTTGCGCACGTGTGTGTGTGTGCACGTGTGTGTGTGTGCACGTGTGTGTGTGCACGTGTGTGTGTGTGCACGTGTGTATTCATGTGTGTGTGTGCACGTGTGTATTCATGTGTGTGTGTGCACGTGTGTGTGCACGTGTGTGTATGTGTGCACGTGTGTGTGCACGTGTGTATTCGTGTGTGTGTGTGCACGTGTGTGTGCACGTGTGTGTTCATGTGTGTGTGCACGTGTGTATGCACGTGTGTGTTCATGTGTGTGTGCTTGCACGTGTGTGTGCACGTGTGTGTGTGTGTGCACGTGTGTGTGCTTGCACGTGTGTGTGTGTGCACGTGTGTCTTTGCACGTGTGTGTGTGCACGTGTGTGTTCATGTGTGTGTGTGCACGTGTGTGCTTGCACGTGTGTGTGCACGTGTGTCTTTGCACGTGTGTGTGTGCACGTGTGTGTACACGTGTGTGTGCTTGCGCGTGTGTGCACGTGTGTGTTGGTGTGCACGTCTGTGTGTGCACGTGTGTGCTTGCACGTGTGTGTGCACGTGTCTGTGTGTGCACGTGTGTGTGCTTGCACATCTGCGTGTGCACGTGTGTGTATGTGTGCACGTGTGTGTGTACGTGTGTGTGTGTGAACGGTGGTGTAGCGGTTAGCGCGCTGTGCTACGAACCTGGCTACCCGGATTCGACTCCCGCTCACGGCCAACACCAGTGACGATTATCTGGACCGATCCCGGGCCTCCCCTAGGTCGACTCAGCCTCAAATGAGTACCTGGTGCGGTGTGTAAACATCGCCACTGGGGAGACAAATGTGTGTGCCGTGTCGGCCTTCAATGGTGCTCGCTAACAGCACTTGCCCCTACACTTTTAAGGCTATACGGGGGATCTTTGTGGTTGCACGTGTGTGTCCTTGCACGTGTGTGTGCAGGTTCGTGTGCACGTGTGCACGTGTGTACGTGTGTGTGGATTTGCACCTATATGTGCGTGCGCGTGTGTGTTCGCGCACGTGGCGTGTGCGTGTGTGTCACACACGCACACGTGTATGTGTGTGGCATATACACACACGTGTATGTGTGTGACATATACACACACGTGTATGTGTGTGTATACACACGCACACGTGTATGTGTGTGACATATACACACACACGTGTATGTGTGTGACATATACACACACGTGTATGTGTGTGTATACACACGCACACGTGTATGTGTGTGACATATACACACACACGTGTATGTGTGTGTATACACACGCACACGTGTATGTGTATATGCCACACACACATACACGTCGTGTGTATGTGTGTACGTCACACACATACACGTGTGTGTGTATATGTCACACACATACACATGTGTGTGTATGTGCCACACACATACACGTCGTGTGTATGTGTATATGTCACACACATACACACGTGCGTGGCGGAGTCGGTTAAGCGCACCGACGACCCCTCTTCAATTCCCAGCCCACTGCCAACGTGTGTGGCGAGCGACAATGAGGCCAGGTCGCGGGCACTCCCCTAGATCGACTCAGCCTTAACGCGGTGTGCAATACACTTCACCACTGGGGAGACAAAGGCGGCTCGCGTGCGAGCGCCGTTCCAGCCTTCACAGGCGGACTCGCTAAACACCGCTCGGGCTCAATCTTCATTTGAAGCTTTCGTGACTGCAGGAATAAAAAATATCACGACGTTGCGATCGATTTTCTAGATTTGAAGCGTTCGTGACTGCAGGAATGAATACTCTTTGGATCTTTCGGTAAAGTCATCACGCGGGTAGAAAATAAATCACGACGTTTCGGGCGCAACACAAGCGTCCGTCTGTTATTTTATTTTATTTTATACCTGCTACGTGACTTTACCGAAAGTAACAGAGGCAGGCACCTCGGCAAGGGGATGTGGCCCACGACGTTGGTGTACGGTGCCATGTCAGGAATATTTTGATGGGTTTAGTTTTTTTCCCCCAGGATTTTCTGTTTGCACAGTCACGTAGTCACTTCAAGATGTTTTTTTCTTGTTCGTTTTTTGTTTTTTTTGTTTGTTGCGGTTGCACCCGATTCAAGAGCCGAATGGCTCACAGGGGCTATATCAAAATAATTGAAAAACTATGGAACTATGAACGAGGTGCGGGGTGACACCGCGTGGGTCCGCGTCGCGGTGTGAGCCCCTTGGAGGCAAGGCGAGGAACGCCGCCTGCTGCCGGGAGCCCGCATTGTGTGACCTCCACCATTGTGTGACCTCCACCATTGTGTGACCTCCACCATTGTGTGACCTCCACCCCCCCCCATCCCCCACCCCCCGCATCGCCCGTTGTGGTATTAACTCGGGCTGAACGATTTTCATGGATTTGAAATCGATTAATCGCAATTTGAAACAATGCGATTGGCAAAT